GAGCCAGGGGCTGATGGGAGGGGGTGAAGTTCCAGAAGCTGGGAGACGTGCACGTGCCAGTTCTAGGGGTTCCAGGAGGTGTCCCTGTGAAGTCTACAGGAGTGTGTGTGTGTGTGTGTGTGTGTGTGTCACCAGATGTGAACCAGGGCCGAAAGCCACGTGAGAGGAAGACTGGAAACACGTCCACGTGTCCAAGTGTTCACGTGTCCGTGAGCCAGAAACAGAGAAGCCATTACCTTAGCGACAGCCGTTCGACGGAGGAGAGGAGTCAGCAGGGGGCTGAAGAGGAAATTGGAGGTGAGGAAGGAAGACAGCAAGTGTGGACAGGCCTGTCGAGAAGCGCGGCTGCGAAAGGAAAGACAGAGACTGTGGTGGCCGCAAGGGACAGGTGGCCCCTGGAGACGCAGGCTGCCGAGGGGGCAGTTAGGAAATCAGAGGGTGTGCCAGGCGGCAGAAGGGAGGTCCAGGGTCTGAGAAAGGAGGGACCAAGGGCAGAGGACACCTCTTTCTTTTACAACACAAGAGGCCACGGGAGGGGTGCGAATGTGTCACTGGACCCCAATCTGCAGAGCCGCTTGACAGCCTCTGTTCCCCTGGGAGGCGACAGGCCAGCCCCTGGGTATGGGGCAGGGAGTTGTGAGGTTCAAATGAATTGACAGTTGCAAAAAGGCCTTTGCAAAACCGCAAAGGGGGACAGAAGCGTTCACTGTAATTACTCACTGGTAGTGGGACGCGCAATTTTATAGCCCACTCAAATCGCACCGGGGCCTGGATTCTCACTGACCATAAATTATGCGTCCTTACATGAAGGATGTAAAAACCAGTGGTAAAAGCTCCTGCCAGCCTCTGGAAGACAAAAGGTTCCCTCCTAATAGCCTGGATTAACTCAAAGCAGGTCTCCGCCCACTTCATTTGTCACCTTCCAAGTCATCCTTCCACCTTCATTTGCCACATAATCCAATCAGGCCCTTTCAGATGCCCGGAGCTATTGTCTACACCAAGCTGGGCTTCTCTAAAGAGGCCTGAGTTGTTTTTGTCTTGTCCGGACAAAACTGGTTGGCTTAAAAGGGGACCAAAGAAAGTGCTGGTCAAATGAGGAACCCAATTAGCTTCCGAGAGACTGTTTCCATCATTTCTGTATCACATACCAGGCCTGGTGTGCTGGGCATATTGTCGGTGTTCCAGAAAATGTTTGTTGAATTTATTCTGCTTTAATTCACTTCGGAATTTATTTGTCAAGCGCGCGTGCGCACGCGCGCACACGCACACGCACACAGACAGACACATACACACACACACACATACAGCACCTACTGGGTGCTAGCCCAGTTATTACTGCAGGAGAGTGGGGCTAGGCGTGAGAACAATGAGGACACCTCGTGTGCTAAGGGTCTCGCGCTTCCCACAGCAATTTACAAAGCACCTTCCTAGCAAGTTACCTCATTTGGTCTTCAGAAGTGCCCTGTGGGGTAGATAAAGGCGTGTGAGTGTGAGTGTGTGTGTGAGTGTGTGTGTGTGTGCGCATGCGTGTGCCGTGTGTGCGTGTGTGTATGTGTGTTAATCTCCATTTAGACCATGAAAGGACTTGAGACCTGGAGAAGTTAAGCAACTTGTTTAAGGTCACACGACTTGTTTAAGGTCACACCGTTATGAGAGGTGGAGCCAGCACATGGTACCAGCGTTGGGGCCACCCAGACCCCCAAGACCACCCTGGGCAGCTGGGATCTCAAACAGGCTATCCCATTGTCAAGAGCTTGATTGGAAATCAAAAGCCTCTTAGTCTGACGCTGGGCCGGGTGGGGCGGGGGGGTCAGGGGCAGCCACAATGGCACCCAGGGTCCAACTCTGACCCCTTCCCTTGCCAGCAATGTGACAAAATACTTACATTCCTCCAGCCTCAGCGCCCTGGGTGTAAATGTGAATAAACCCTTCCCTGGGGGAGGGGCGCTCAGTTCCCACCCAGTGTTTTTTTTTTTTAATTACTCAAATCAATGCTGGATTCATTCTCATCTGTAAAGTGAGGCTGCTTCATTCACATAGCCGTCTGTCTGCACAGAAATAACATTCAAGGGACACAGAAAGTGCTCTAGAAATGACCGCATGCATAATTCATGTTCCTACTCAAGTCAGCCCGTCAGTCACCCTTCTGGGTAAGGTCCCTACCTGGTGCAGGGAGAGCCCCGTGGACGGGGGCTGTTCCGAGTGCTGTAGGAGAACAAATGAGAGGCGTGAGAAAAGTGACACGGTGGCAATAGACTCACCTACCACACTTTTTTTTCAACAAACATTTGCGGACCTCCTCCTCTATGCCCGGCCCTGCCCGAGGCTGCTTTATCTCATTTAATACTCACAACAGCCCTAGGAGGTTGCTCTTCTACTCCCCATTCCTCAGAGAGGTTGGGGAGATCTAAAGAGGTTGGGATGCCCTTGGCAGTTCAGCAGCATGGCGTCAGAGCTCATGCTCGTTCCAGAAGCCCACCTGGGCCTTGGAATTGCCAGTGAGATGCTGGTGGAGCCCTTGGCCCAGGTCCCCCTCCTGAGAAGTTCCCAAAGGGATCTTTCCATTCAGGACATCGTACGGGCAACAACAGGGTCAGCGAGAAAGGCTGACACCTTCGTGGGAAGGGAAACACTCCAGGTCGCTGGCACATGAACACAAGCAGAGACTTAAAGGAAAGTAGTCATAGCAACAGGCACGAGCATAGCGAAGGTCAGGGGTTAACGACCAATGCCCCCTCACTAGGGCATTGGTTTAAGCCTTTAAAGAGGAACGGCTGGCTGGTCACTTCTGGTCCTCTTCGTCCTCCGTGGTCCTGGTGCCGGGGGTCTCCACCAGTGGCTGCTTCGAATGCTGGTGGGGTCCAGGAATCCGCGCTCCTACTGCCCTCTGCAATTGATCAAAGGTTAGAGGACCCAATGGAAAGCCCAAGTCTAGGTAATAATTAAAATTTAAATGAATTAATAACAACTAAAACTAATTAATTAAAATTTAAAGTTGTCTTTTAATTGCTAATGGGTCTGGGGGTGGTGCACGCAGGGGGCCAGGGATGGGGATTCCGCCCGCCATGTTGCGTATACGCTGCCACAGGAGGGGTCGAGTACCACAAGGTGGAGATGAAAGGCAAGTACCTTGGCTGCAGCTGGGCATCGAGAGGTGGTCTTTGCGGACGAGGAGGTGAATCGGTGATGTCATCTCCGAAGAGACCCTATGGCATGGGAGGGGCCAGATTAGAAACCGTCACGATGACCTCTAATGGCCAGCACAGGAACAGCAGAGGGACTGGGCAGTCACAGGGAAAGGAGGGGGGAGTGGGAAGAGGAAGGAGGAGGGAGGGGTTGGGGGGAAGTGGGAGGGGTATGGAGGGAGGGATATGAAGGAGGGGAGAGGAGGGAGGGAGGAGGGATGGGAGAGAGGAGGGGGGAAGGAGGGATGAGGAAAGTGGGAGGGGTAAGAGAGAAATGGGAGGGGGAGGAGGGAGGAGAAATGGGAGGGGAGGAGGGAGGAGAATGGGAGGGGGTGGAGGGAGAGAAGTGGGAGGGGGTAAGGAGGACTTGATTGACAGGGCACAAGTGTTAGCTGTGTGCGCATGCGCAACCTCAAGCCAAGTTTGGCAGGCCGAGAGCCATTTGCAGGCATACGCCGCTAGGGGGCGCGCGATCAGCACCCAGAGTCCAAGAGCACAGCCACCTGCGGCGCGCGCGCGCACACGCGCGCGCAGCAGGAGCTCCCCCGCCCTCCCCTGGCTGGCAGCTGCAAGAGGCACAGCTGGCATAGGATGGGCTGGGAGGGGTGCCCAACAGGTCTCAAGCTAGGAGGGTGGGCACAACCCACCCCAGCCCTTCGCACAAGGCTGCTACGTCCCCTAAACCGCACACCCGCCATCACCGGCCAGAATCCACCTGTGGAAATCCAGCAGCACACCCCCACATAAACGCCCAGGGGGCCTCCCGCACCCCGAAACTGTGCGGGTCACCCTGCACCAGAGAGACATGAGGATATCAAGGAGACACTCGCCGTAAGGGTCTTTCCAGAACATGATTCCACTTTTAATAAGTAAAAACAAATCTTGGCCCCAACCTTCGAGAAATCTAATTAAACAAATTAATTAAAATTTTAAAAGCCCAGTTCTCAATACAATATTTTCGCTCATTTCTGTGGTCTCTGGACACATAGTACAAAATATGGTATCGCTAGAAAATTTGGAGGCGGCCAAAACCACCTAAAATCATCCAGACCACCATCGCCCGTCCGCCCGCCCCCCCCCCCACATCCCGCCTTCCTTCTTCGCCACACCAAGAATTTCAAGACCCCGCATGACGGCGCCTAATTAACCATTTTTTACGGTCTCTTTATCCTGCTCAAATGAGCCATACTTTCCTAAGGCCCCCCGAAACCAAAACCAACTGAAATAAACTAATCCGCGTCCACGTTCTTCCACGACCCGCTAAGTCACACAACCAGCGCGGGATCGCGGCACGTCCGCCCAGCGCGAACCCTGAAGCCGCTCCCCAGTGAACCCGGGGATCTTAAAACCTTTCCCCCGTAGGTAAATGAATCCAGAATTTTCCAGTAAATCTCGAGCCTGACCCCCTCCAGCAGAAGAACAAAGGCCACCTCCCCTCCCCACCCCGCCCCCCAAAATTCCGCAGTGCCACCAGCGCCCTCTAGCGGCCAGCAAGAAAACCTTCCAGAAACCTGCCACGTAGCAACTCGCTCGCGCCCCCCCCTCCCCAAGCCCGCCAGCCCTGAGTGGGGAGGGGGCAGCTTGGGGGGGGAGAGGCTTGACATGGACAAAGGAAACGGCAAAAGGCAACTTTACCAAAAGTCAAAAGCCCGCAACATGTCAGAATCTTCCAGCGACAATCACGCAATGCCGAAAAGATCCCCCAACCCCCAATCCCCTGCTCCCAGTGCCCAGACCCCCCCGCAAACACACCCCCTTTTCTGTATTTCTCTCTTCCCGCTCGCTTCCCGGACCCAAGAACACGGCTTTCTCTCTACGCCAACCCACCCTCCAGTTTCTACTCTGCCAGTGCCCCCCAATTACTTGACCCTCCCCCCAGCCACCCTTCTCTACAGAACTGATGCGAGGGGCTTCTGGCAGGTCGCACTTGGGCGCCATCTCTCCACAGTTAAGGCGGTTGGTCAGGGCGAAACCAGATGCTATCAGTTAGAAATTTTACTCTTAATTTTTGACTGGAGGCGGCCCTATACTAAACTCGTGTGCTTGCTCCGGGAATCTCTCGCGAATAGGAACCTCTACACTCCTCACGCCTACGGGCCACCAAGAAGCTGGCCAGGAACTGAAGGGGGGGGTATGCCCAGGAGACCCTTCTCTTCGGGTGCTTTCCCCCCTAATTAGTGGGGCATGCAGAAGGCATCCGCCGCCATCTCGCCCACCGTTCGTCATTCTGAAGGTGGCTTCAAACACAGAAAATCTGGGTTTTGGACCCCAGTGACCGCGGGACTCCTGGATTCCGACACGGTTTGGCGTGATCCCTCCCACTCCTCACTTTAAGCCCCCACCGCCCAGCCTACTCTCCAGAACTGGACGGGAAAGGGACCCTGACTCCCCGTAGGAAAATGTGCCTCGAGACTTTCCTTCCTGACAGCATTTCATTGCCGACGCTGGGGGAACAGGCGAGGTGGCCACCTTCAGGAGAAGGCGTCTGTCCTTCGGCGTGTCCGGGACAGAGCCCAATCCGAAAGGGGGTGTTGCCTTCCTTTTGCACATCCTTTCAGGCAAGGATGGCGAACCACTCACCAGGCGAGGAGATTCTCGCGTGGGCGCCCCGGTTCTCGGGAGGAGCTGCAGCCGAGGCCGGCGGGCCAAGGCGCGCTCCATCCCAGCTCTCCGCCGTCTGCACTAGGGGCTGGCTGGGTGGGGTTTATATGGAGGCGCAGAAGGGGTGGTCTCTGACGTCAGCGCATTCTGCTGCAATGCGCTCATTTCTCCAAAAGCGATTGGCCAGAAAAATGAGCCCCCCAGATTCGATGACAAATTGCTCTAGCCGCACCCAGATTGCAGCAAAGAAGGGAGGAAAAAATTCTGCCGCAGTGCCCCTCGCCGCCATGACCAACACCCTCTGCTCGCTGGTGCCTTCTCCCTCCGCGTATCCCGCTCGCCGAGCAGGGCGATTCCTGTGCACAATTTCCCGAGAGAACGGGACCCGGGATGGTTTTCTCGGGCGGGCCGAGGGTAGAATCGGGGTGCAGGGGGCAGCAGATCACACACCTGGCTATCTCGGAACCTCTATTAAAGGATGTGTCTTAGGGACAGAAACTGATGCATCCGTCCCGCTTATTGTCCTGGAAAATAAAATGCCCCGGGCACGATAAGCGGTACCCAAGAGTAAGTCGGCGGCTGGCGCCCCCTTTTAGCCCACCCACCCATTTCTGATTGGTTACCTTTGACACGGAGGACTCGGCATAGCATCTCCGAGTCAGAAAAACCGGGTTTCGAGTCCCGGCTCTGCCACTTACGACCTGTGTATCAGAACCCTGCAGTTCCCCTTCCTCTGCCAGGGGGTCTGTTTCCTCCACGTTAACAAGGGGAGTACCCCCTAACCCGCCTTGTTAAATAAGAACCTACGTGTGAGCCCTATCCCTCGAGGGAAAATACTTTCCGAAGAGGACTCTGTCCCATCTGGAGATGCATGGGGTACACCCCAAAATCAAGGTGATTTTCCCACTCGTGCAGTTTGAAAAGCCTTTCCCCCCCCCCCCCCCCGCACCACCCCGGGGAAACAGGCAGCGACACATGTTGCGGCAGAGCGTAGCTCCACGGCCTCGTGCGCGGGGACTTGGCACGAGAGATTCGGTCCTTAACAGGTGGTGCCTTCGGCAGCTCTGCCGGGCACTGAGTGGCAAAGGGGGCAGGGCCGTCAATCAAATGTCCTCTCGCAAAGGTCAAAATGCTGTTGAAAGGGACTAAGGATCTATCTTAGGGTGACAGGTGGGTGGCAGCCGGGAGGGCAAAGATGAAGCGCCTGGTGACAGAAAAGGGGTGAGAATGAGGGATGGGTCCCAAAGGGGAAGGGCCGAGGGGCCCCGCAGAGGTATCAAGTTAGAACAGCTCCCCCGTGCTTCTTGGGGAGGGGCTGTTCGAAATAGCTTCAGAGAGAGGGCCTCCCCCCGCCCTGGCCCAGCAGTCCCTCGAGGTGGTTGTGACACAGACGGGAGATTTCAGGGCTGAAATGAAGGGAAAAGGCTATTTGTAAAGCCCACGCCAAGTGACAGGGAGGTGAAAATGGACCACTGGGTCACGAGAGATCCCGAGCCATGGCCAGCGTCTCGTTTATAGATACACAGGGCCATTTGGGGGGATGAGGATAAAGTGGGCTTTGGGGGACAGGTAATAGGGAGAACGAGAACACCCCGCTTACAGCCTGGGGAACATGCAAAGAGCCCCAGAAACTAGAGTCCCCCAGCAGGACTCCCAAGGCCAGAAGGCCCGCGCCAACTGTGGACGTCAAGAAAGCTTCAAAAAATCATGGCTCCGAGCATCCCAGTCAACAGGACAACGTTTATTAGCCACGGTATTAATAGCTAGGAAACAGCCAAACAGGGCCGAGACCAATCAGCGGCCAGGAATTCCTGTCGTCAGGCCCGCGCGGCCAATCAGACGCCGGCAGGCTTGGTTGCTAGCCTCCCCGGGGCAGAGGCGAGGGGCGCGCATTGTCACGGGGGCTCCAGCTCGCCCACCGCGCGTGGGAGGCCTACCAGGGAGCCCAGGCAGCCAGCAGAGAGCGTCAGTAGTCACGCACTCGGGGTCCCTGGAGGCTGTCTTAGAGACAGTGCCTGCTGGCATCAGCTCTGAGGCCCCAGAGAACATGCGTTGAGGCTCTGGGAGGAGCCCGGGCTTGGGTTGGGGTGCCCCTGAGAGGCCCGGGGAAGGAGGGACTCCAGACATGCACTGCGCGTCTCTCTCCTCAAGGCCTGGCCCCGCGCGGGAAGTTGGGCCTCCCAGCGCCAAGTCAGCTTCTCTGCTTGTTTTTTTTTTTTTTTTTTTTTCCTGGGCTTCCTGGCTCTTAAGCCTGCAGCTCAAAGGTTAACAGTAAACCCCACTCCTCTTTTTCAGGGCCTAACTGACAGGCCGAGGTAAAGGACCTTGGAAATGTGTTTTTCACAAAAGTGCGGAGGGTTTGAATCCCAGCTCTGCCCCCTCCTAGCTAAGAGGCTGAAGTCCAAGCCCTTCTCCCTGGCCCCCTATTTCCTCATCTGGAAAGAGGAAAGAGTTGGACAAGATGGTCCCCAAGGAGCCTCCCAGTCCTGCTTTGCTTGGTTTGAATGTATACATCAGGCGAGTCAATGTCTTCCAGAACATTCTGCATGACAGTAATTAGTATCAGGTGTATCCTGCAGTCCATGTGGTTACTTCATCATGCTGCTTTTCTTTCCATTGTATTTTATTTTAAACAGAACTCCATGGCAACATGTTTAATTCATACTTTCCCTAATAAATGAATATGAGAAGTACTCAAAAAAAAAAAAAAAAAAGGAAGGAAGAAAGAAAACGATAGAAAAAGAAAAGGCAGAGGAGAGAGGAAGAAAAGACTGCTGTAAACTAATCCTGCTGAGTATGGTTGAACCACAATATTCAAAAAAATCCATATGTTTAAATGTTTTCATTGGCTTTTCTGGAGCTCAGAACTTAACTTTTTAAATATTTACTGGTCCAAAGCGATGGAAGAAATAACTCGAAAGAGCCAATCCCTGGTACTGTTTGGATCCCAACTGCTTCTCCGTCTCGGCGGTGCCCTGCACGCTTTCCCTGCTCGGAAGGGACATTGGAGGGTTCAGATCCATATCTATAGGGCAAAACAGACAAGGAAATCCAGGTTGAGGAATGGCCGCGTTCGTTTCTGTGCATGCTGAAACCCAACCCTCCTGAAGAGCCCTGGAGGACAGCCAGTGTCCCAGACACATGGCTTAGTCCGCTGCCTGGTTTGTTTTTTTTTTCCGCGTAGATCTAATTCAAAGCACACATTTTTCTTCTTTTTTTAATTCCTACTTGGGAACCCTCAAAAGCCGTGTGAGCAGTCTCCCATCCACATGTACATACTTGTGGGCAAGTGGACAAGCGTCCTAAGATTCAGCCAGGAAATGAAGACAAGGCCCTCCTCTATCCATCTTCCAGGCGAGGGTAAACGCACTCTCTTCTCAAAACCATACTGCAAGCTTTTACAAAACAGCGCCCCTGGGTGTCTGCCCCTCTAGGCAGGCCTCCCTAGTCTTCCAGGTACCCCCAAATGGTGGCATACCCCAGAGATCTCTCCGGAACCCTCTTCCGCACCTCCTGCGGGTGGCTAAAGTGATGGTCGATGCTGCTGCCTTCCTAATCTCTAATTGCAACCCCCTTCTAGCAATTCAGATCCCCCCAAATCACACATCCCTGAGCGCGCGCGCACACACACCCATAGACCTCGGCCCAAGTCAGAGAAGCAGCAGGGGACTACAGAGTCTTCCCATAATGCCGTTTTGGGCTGGAGGAGCCTGGCCTTGTCGGGTATGACCTCATTCCCTCTATAAAGTGAGGTGCTGGGCGTCAAGCGGTCAAAAATTTCAGGGGGTGGGGGACAAACAACAGTCCCATCTTCTAGAGTCCTGGAATGGCCAGTGGCTCTTCCAGAATTCACACTAAGCTTTTGTCCCCACATTAACAGCCCTTCGAGAAGTTGATTTTGCCTTCGAAATAAAGTCCAACCTCTTTAGTTTGGCGTTTAAAGACTTGTATGAGGGGTTCACCTTTTATTTCTGGTCACGTATCCAAACACGATTCATACCCCCACTTTTTTCGGGTCGGATGTCTGGGGGTCCCTGCCGTGTCGTGACCCTGGCGTTGGGCAGTGAGGAGTGCCGTGGCTGCTCGTGGACTTCGGGGGTTTTCCTCCCCAGGACCCCAGCGTCAGTGGCCCTCTGCTCCTCTGAAACCTGAGTTTGGGATGCAGCCCCAACCTTTGCATACAGAGGAGTTTGCCAACTTGTAGATATTAAAAGACAAATAAAATTCAGCCTTTTGCAAAAGGCCAAGGATAAAGCTCGCCCCTGGGGGGGCTGCTGGGCTTCCAGGCAGCTTACGTACGTACGTGTTCGATCCTGGGGTCTCTGGTAGGTGGGAGAGGGGGTGAGCATGGCTCTTTGGGGATCCGTGTCATAACTACAGCCAGCAAAAAAGACCTGGAAGGTAAAACCCCCAAATTACCCCCCAAAATCCCAAAAAGCCATTTGTTGTTCTAGGCAAATAGATTCTGGGCAATTTTTCTTCTTTCCACTTTTATGGATTTCTCTTCTGGCACACGTCGCTTTCATAATGTGCATATTTTAAAAATGCAACAATCCAAGAAGACTGATCATTTGAGCCTCTTCCTTAGGGACCTCAAACATGAAATATTTTTCTAATAAGTAAATAAAAATCAAGAGACTCAGGCCGCCCCTCTTGAGCTCAGAGGCGTCAAGCACGGGGTGGGCATGACAGGGACGGGGCGGGGGGCAGCTGATTTCTGGAAGGGGTCTCTTGAACCTACCACCGAAGTGAGCACATTCCTAGCTGGAAACAACAACGAGAAAATGAACTTCGCTGGTTTCATTCCTGCAGGAGGGGCTTAGAGAAATCCATTTTCTAGAGACGTGGCAGGCCAAGAACGGGGTCTTGGCGAAGCAGGCCTCGGTCATGGGTTGGGCTTTAGAAGAAGTCATATCCTGATACTAGGAAACGTGGCCACATCGCCCCGCCCTGCCCCCATCGGGCCCCTCTGGCTTTGGGTGCGGGCCAGTCCCAGATTCAAGCAAGGGGTTTTCTTGGCCCAACTCCATGGAAATATTTCCTTCGGTGGAGCAAAGAACTGCTTCATTCAACTGCCTGCGGCTAGGGAGGGGGCTGGCTTTACGGTGTTGACAGAGAACCGGAGGCCTGGGGAGGGGCCCCAGAGCAGAAAATGTATTCCAGGTAGAACAGGACTGGAAAGTTTGCTTTTTTTTTTTTTTTTTTTTTTTTAACTAAAAGATTGCTGACAGTTGAAAAACTGCCACCCCACCCAAGAGGCTCCAGAAGAAGACATTCGTGCTAGATTTCAGTGAGGACGACAGCAGGCACCTGTCTGCTTAACGGCAAAGGGAGGGGGGCCACTTCCAAGCACGCTTTCAGTTCAAACCTTCGAGTTCTGGGTCCTTCCAGAGCCCCCCTCGGCCTCCCTGGGCCAGGCCTGGTGATAGCTGTGTCACAGCGCTCACCCAAGAAGCCACCAGCTCTCTAGCAGAGTCAGGAGCCCTAAGGGACTCTGCAGTGGCAGGCCTGGTGCGCAGAGAGGCTGTGGGTGGGCTCCGGAAGGCACTTCGTACCCCCTCCCTCGTTGACTCTGGGTTCACGTGGTCCACGGCACAGGCGGTGCCCGGGGGTAGGCGCCCCAGCCCCTCAGTTTCCACCAAGAGACCAGAAGAGAGCACGCTGACATGACTCCTGCTCCAGAGACAGCTCAGAAGCTCATCTATCTGCAAATGAGAGGCTTGGGGGGACGTGGGGCGTCTTCTCCGAGAGATGGGTCATTCGTCCAGTGCCATCTTAGAGATGAAGGGAGTTGAGAAACCAGCCGAGGGCGGAGCGTGGCACGTGGGCGAGTGCCGCTCTGGTCAGTGGCCGTGCTGCCCTGAGCTGGTAACACCTATCACGACATCCCAACGTGGACTGCTGGCTTTCTTTCCTGGCGGTCTCTTGGGGAAACTGACCATCTTGCCTGGTGGTTGAGGGTTTGGGCCCTGAGGTCGGACCTCAGGAGCAAGGCCACCTGGTACCGTGTGGCTTTGGGTTATTCGATTAACCTCTCTGAACCTCATTGTCGTGGTCTTTAGAACAGGGATAAAACGCCTCTTCAGGTGAGAAGATTAAACAGGGAGAAAAATCGTGTGCTGTTTTCACCGTGTCTCCAGCTATGGGACATAGAGGGTGGTTGAGGAGAGCGCTGCTCTCTCCAAAATGCCTGAGAACTTGGCTTCTGAACCCCACAGTTCGGGGGACAGGCTCCACCGCTCCCCGCAGTCAATCAGAGAACAACGAGACAGAGGCCTCCCATTTGCAGCCTCCTGGCTGAGCCTTGTGGGCTCTCTGGGGACCGGGATGCCCCCAGCTCAGCCACCTGCCCCAGTACCCTCTGTACCCACTGCTGATGAGGGTCACCTCTCCTCCTCGGTAAGACCTCCTGTCTCAGAGTCTGAGGTCTGAGATGCAGTTTGCAAGCTCGGTGGGAAAACAGATCTTCCAGATGAAAATGTTCCGGGCACACTAGGCCTGCCTCGTCCCTTCTCCCTCCCGGCCCTCCCGTAGCCGGTAGGACACCAGCACTCTGCAGCCTGGCGAGGAGGCGGCCAGCAAGGTGGGGATGATGCAGGCTCTGCTGTCGGACCCTGGTTTAAATTCTGATACCACCACTTACGAGCAGCTTGACTTCGGGCGAGTCCCTTAGGCCTCCCTGCACTTCTGTTTCCACGTCTGTAAAATAGAGATAATAATAGTACCTGCCTCCCAAGGCGTTGAGGAGGTTAAATTTAGTAATGTGTGTGAAGCCCTCAAAACAGAGCCCGGTTACCCAGTAGAGGCCCAGTAACAGAGGTGGCATCTTTCTGCCTCGTGCAGACAGCCATGCTGTCCCCAGGGAGAGCAGATCTAACAGTGCCTCCATTCCCACGGGAACGCAGAGCGTGAAACCCTCGCCACAGCCTCCTGACTCAGGACGAACTGCTCCGGGCCTGGCAGAGGACAGCTGTGAGTTTTCGGGCCTGCGAGGCAGCAGCTAAGCCTCCGGGGTGGCCCTCTCTGTGTGCCCTCTCTAGGGCCAGGGTACAGACCCGTCTTACAGCCTTGGCCCACCGGAAAGCTTCGTTTGCCCCTGTTTTGGGTAACTTCACCAGCCGGGTCGCCGGGGATGACTGGAGGTCATCGTGGGTCATTTCTGAATGCCACAGGTCACTGCAAGGTTTGGTCACCACCGGTCTTGGTGCTTCGCCCCCTTCTACCAACTCGCTCGGGCTTATGCTCTGCAAAGCTTCGCCCTCGAGACACACGGGCTCAAATGTTCAACATACCCTTTAGGTGTTTGCGGAAAGGATGAGCTTAAAGGCGCCTGCCCTTAGGTAAACGAAGCTGCCCTTGCACATTTGATGATAAAGAAAAGCAAACAGAAGCCGCCTTTCCAGGGCCTGCCTGCTCCCACGGGCTCTCAACCTAGACACCTCTGCCTTCATGAGCTGTGGGGGGCGGAGGGCCTCGGGATGGCCTCTGGGACACCCTGCCCTTTGAGGAGGGTCCTGCCCTCCTCACCCTGCAGAGGCCTCCATTCCCCCTCTGCAAAAATATGAAAAGGATCCACACACCACGGATTTGCTCTGAACGCAGAAGAAGACAGACAGACAGACTATTAAAAACAAACAGCCTCCTACACTATTCGGAAGGACCCTGAGGGTCATCATGCATGGCCGGAGCTGGAGACTGTCCGAGCCAGTCACCTAGTCGTGGCACATCCAAGCCAGGCACACTCAGAACCGGCTGCCCCCAAAATACACCAGATGAGGTTCTGCACTTTTTGCCTGAGTTCTGTCGACTTTAAAGGGTGAATTCCTGATAGTTTCACTTATACATTCGTCCATTCAGTTCAGGGGACACTTACTGGGCGCCTAGGGCTGGCATTGTTTCAGGTGCTAGGGGTAAGTGACCTCTGGCCGGACCAGTGCCCTGCCTTTCACACTTCAGAGGCCTGAGCTGCACACCCACTGAGTGCAGGGCTGTCTCCAGTTGCCTCTGCTTCTACCTCAGGCCC